CTTAGAGGCCAGTATGGCCAAACTTCGTCTCTCATACTTCAGACATATTGTCAGGAGGGACCAGTTGCTGGAGAAGGATATCATGTTTGGTAAGGTGGAGAGTCAGAGAAAAAGAGGAAGACCCCCAGTGAGATGGATTGGCAAAGTGGCAGCATCAATGGGCTCAACAGTGTCAACAATTGTGAGGTTGGCCCAGGATGGGGCAGTGTTTCGTTCTGTTGTGCACAGGGTCGCTATGAGTCGATAATGACTTGATGGCACCTAACAACAACACCATGCTAACTGGGGAGTCCTGGTGTGATGCTGTGGGTTAATGCGCCAGACTGGAAAGCCATTTGAACTACAAGGCTGGCGGTTCAAACTCATCTGCTGCTCCTTGGAAACCCTATACAGGGTTGCTATGGCTCGGAACTGACTCAACAACACTTAACAACAACATGCTAATTGGATTGGTTGAGTCCTGATGTGGCGCTATAGGATAAGCACTGTACTGCAAGGTTGGTTTGAATAACAAGGTCGGTGGTTCAAACTCACTAGACACTCTTCAGAAAACCTATATAAGGTCACTATGAATCAGAACCGACTCCATGGCACTTAACAACAACAACAAAAACAACAATGTTAATTGGATATGTTGCATTTCTTCAAGATGGATTCCACTGCAAAGGACTCTGGTTGTTGTTGTAGTTAAGTGCCATTGAGTCGGTACTGACTGATCGTGACCCTGTATAGGGTTTCCAAGGAGCACCTAGTGAGCTTGAACCACTGACCTTGCTGTTCAAACCAACCTTACAGTCCAGTGCATTAACTCACAGTGCTACACCAGGGCTTAGAGGCAGAGAACACTAATTTGGGGATGTCCCACATGCATGATTATTCAGAACTCAGGTTCCAGCTCCTCCCAGGGTGTTATCACTGCCTCTAGTGAAAGGTGAGTAAAAACAGCCTATAAAACACCTTACAATAAAGTAAAATACAGGAATACCAGTTTCTTCATTCTGAAATTGATCAAAGATGCAATCAATATACATTGATAATTACTGGTGATTGGAATGCAAAGGTTGGAAACAAAGGGAAAGGATCAATAGTTGGAAAATATGACCTTGGTGCTAGAAATGGTGCTGGAGATCCCGTGATAGAATTTTGCAAGACCAATGAATCATTCACTGAAAATACCTTTTTAAAACTAAGTAAAATATGATTATACACAAGGACCTCACCAAACTGGATACACAAAAATCAAATTGACTACATTTGTGGAAAGAGACCGTGGAAAATCTCCATATTATCAGCCAAAACAAGGCCAGGACAGACTGTGGAACAGACCATCAATTGATTGCTCATATGCAAGTTCAGGATGAAGCTGAAGTATATTAAAAAAAGTCCACAAGAGCCAAAATATGACCTTGAACATAGCCCACCTGAAATTAGAGATCGTCTCAAAAATAGCTGATGCATTAGACACTAGTGACCAAAGACCAGAAGAGTTTGGGATGACATCAAAAACATCAGACAGGAAGAAAGCAAAGGGTCATTAAGAAGACAAGAAATAAGGAAAACACCACTAGCAACACAACATTAACTTATGGTCTGTGCCAACTCCCTCCTCCTTTACAGCAGCAATTTCAAATCTTCTTCACTCTCCAAAGATATGTTTACCTATTTCTAGAGAAAATCAATAGCATCTGGCAGAAAGCCCAACTAACCTCCATGAAAAGAAACATATTTCAGTATCTAAGTCTTCTGACAGTTTTAAAGTAAGGGGTTGGCAGTTCAAATTCGCCGGCTGCCTCTCTGAAACAGGGTCGCTATGAGTCAGAACCAAGGCCACATCACTTAAAAACAACAACAAAGTAAAGGATGTCCTGCCTGCTCTCCAAGCTTGGGTAGGGGAAACACCTCTGAGCTTTACTTCTGAGATTCACAGAAAGGAAGGAGTGCAAACTAGAAGAAAGAACTGGATAATGTTATCCAACAACAAAGACGGGAGAAACGGTATCTGAGAGCCTGTGGCCACACCCTGGCAACGATTTAGGAAAATACCAGAGGATGCCCCGCCCCCGCCCACATTGCTCAGAAAACCGGGCCTCCGGCTTACTCAGGCCTAGATCTATAATGAAACATCCGGAATCTTCTGCATCCACCGCGCCCTGTCTGCGGGCGGTGTGGGAGACCCAGGGAGGGCAGCGTCTCTTCTGGTTAGCCCTTTGCCACACTAACAGAAAGAACAATTTTCCCTGCCCGCCGGAATAATAAAAGACAATTTTCCATGTTTCCCCACCCTTTGTGATTATGTTCCTGAAAGAGACTCAGAAGGAAATTGGGATGGAGGAGTGGGGGATAATTCCAACGCTAAGTGAGAGGTTTACATAGCGCGGAGTGCCGGGCCAACCTCCTTGCCTGTGGGTCCCCGGGGCGGAGCAGCAAGATGGGGAGTGCCTGGATAGGAATCCCCCTACCCTTGTTGACATCCCACTCTACTCCACAGCCCTCCCTCTGCTGCCGGAGTAGGCCAACTCCGCCTGCCTGAGTCATGGCTAGGGATGGGGAGGAGCCGGGGAAAGGCGGCCCCAGTCCAGAGCGCAGCCAGCGGCCGCGAGGAAAGCAGACAAGGGACTGTCGGGGATCATGGGGGAAAGCGCATTGGAACCGGGGCCTGTGTCCGGAGTCCCGGCTGGGGGCCCTGTGCACGCTGTAACGGTGGTAACCTTGCTGGAGAAACTAGCCGCTATGTTGGAGGCGCTACGGGAGCGGCAGGGCGGCCTGGCTCGGAGGCAGGGCGGCCTGGCGGGCTCTGTGAGCCGCATCCAGAGCGGCCTGGGTGCACTGAGCCGCAGCCACGACACCACCAGCAATACGCTAGCGCAGTTGCTGGCCAAGGCGGAGCGTGTGGGTTCGCACGCCGACGCAGCCCAGGAGCGCGCAGTGCGCCGGGCCGCCCAGGTGCAGCGGCTCGAGGCCAACCACGGGCTGCTGGTGGCGCGCGGGAAACTCCACGTCGTGCTCTTCAAGGTCAGTGACCTCATGCCACCATCTAGGGGTTCTTCTCTCCCGCATGCCACACCCCCATTCCTGATTCCACCCACCTCCCCGCAGCCACCGGCTGGACTTCCAGAGCCACACCTACTAACCACCACCCCAGCCCCCTCCCTCTCTCGCTAGCGTGAGCTCAACTTGGCCAATCAAAGCCCGCCTGGCTCTACTTGGTCCACGTCCACAGAATTTGTTCCCAAATCCCAACTTTTTCTTAAAGGAAAATAACGGTGGTGGGCGTTCTAGCTCATGCGGTCACCATCCTCATCCCATGCTTTTGACCTGGTCCCATCTACTTTCCATATTTAGGCTGTTCGCCCGTAGCTTTCCATCATACACGTCCTATTCCCACCTATCCACTCCTGCCTCTTTAAACCCCCAATTTGGGCTGTGGAGGTAAAATGTGAGCAGGATTTCCTGTATATAATTGAAAGAAATTTAGCCTGGTGCTTGTAGGGGCTTGGGGAGATGGGTCATTGCTGTTCTGTCACCTGCAGGAGGAAACCGAAATTCCAGCCCGTGCCTTCCAGAAGGCGCCTGAACTGTTGGGCCCAGCTGATCAGTCCGAGGTGGGTCCAGAGCAGCCAGAGGCCGAAATTGGGGAGAGCTCGGATGAGGAACCCGTGGAGTCCCGGGCGCGACGACTGCGGCGTACCGGGTTGCAGAAGGTGCAGAGCCTGAAAAGGGCTCTTTCGGGCCGGAAAGGCCCTACAGTACCACCAACTACGCCGGTCAAGCCACCTCGCCTTGGGCCTGGCCGGAGCACTAATGGCCAGCCGGAAGCCCTGCCTGCAGCCCAACCTGCTCAGGAGTCTACGCTGGAGCCAAAGCCTCTGCTGGACACGGAGGAAGAAGATCTCAGGAGACCAGAGGCTGCGGAAGCTGCCCTGCTCCAAATAGAGAGTGAAGCCTAAAGGCTGGTGCTGCTTCCCTCCACCCCCCTCCCCGCCTCCATTGCGCCTCTACCTGGTCCCAAAATAAATTCTCCTCTAGAATTCAGGCACTCATGTCCAAATAAGGAGGGGATTCTGCATCCACAGCCCAGTTCAGGCCCTCCCTTCCTGACTCCTTCAGTCTAATACCCAGTGTTCTCGAAAAAAGGAGCAGCTGCTCACACCCCTGCTTGCATTCATCATCAATAAAAGTAATTTCACCGAATCTGGACTCCTTGTGACAGGATGGGGGGAAAGGTGGTACAGGGGATAAGGCAAACCTGGGAACCACCATGGGACTTGAGTTTTATACGGGTTGTTGTTTGATTCCACCAGTTTCCGCTCAATCCTGGGCTCTACTTCAATGGTTTGTAGAGATTTCCTGTTAGCAACGTGCTCCCTAAAAGACTCTTTGCTCATGGGACATACAATCCCAACTGTAGGTGTTCAGTAAATGCTACCTAATCGTGTGGTGCTGTAGAATATGTACTGGATGTCTAATTGCTAGGTAGGCAGTTCATACCCATCAGCCACTTCTTGGAAACGAGTCCTGGTATGGGCTGGGGGTTAATGTGCTGGATTGCAAAGTTGGTGGAGGTTCAAGCTCACCAGCTACTTCTAGGAAACCTGTACAGGGTCTCTATGGGCCAGAAGCAACTCTACGGCACACACACATACACACATGATTTAGAAGGGCACTTAACAACAACAATAGTTTGTACTTACAGAGTCCTAGTGTGGCACGGTAGGATAGTTACTGAACTGCTAACAACAACACTAAACAACAACACTAGTTTTACCCCTTAGTTGCTTCTCTGTCTCTTTTAAAGGATGACCATCCAAGATTCTGTTCTTAACCCTTTTCTAGATACTCCATGGTTGACCTTTACTCCCAGGCCTTCTCTATCAGCTCCATAAATCTCAGAGAGTGGGTGAGGATCAGGAAACAGGATCAGGCCATGTCCAGACTTGTCAGCCTTTTCATGTCCATTGCTACTGCTCCTTATGGCCACACAATGCCACTATTGGGGTGCTAGTCAGTGTCCTGGCTGATGCCTCAGGTGGCCACCTACCCCCAAGTCTGCTAGTCCAACTCTGTGCCTGTGTGTAGGAGTTTTTCCATGAAGGGTGGTGGCTCTTGGTAGAAAATTCAGGACCTTAGGTGTCAGATGTTGTCAGACTTTGCCAACTGCTGCCACCCCCGCCCCCAAGGGTCTCCTAGTTCAGTTTGAACACTCTCAGTTCTCTGTCCCCAAAGAAAAATAAATCCTGGTTCTTTTCCCAAATTCTTGGGAATCTACCTAATTTCCATCTTTCAACACCTATGCAATTGAGTCCAACTATAGATGGTCCACATAAAATGCCATGAGAGCTCATTGAGAAACATAGGAAGGTCCTGAGTGCCCAGTCCTTGACCCCTAGGAACCCAAAGTCTTGCCTAACTTTAGGAGGCAGGGGATGGACTTCTTATTCCATCCTGATGTGCTTATAGCAGCAAGCACATAATGTCATAAATTTAAGCAAAATAAATTTCTTAATAATTCACTTAGTTACATTCTCTATTTTCACTGCTATAGTTATTACTAATATTGTTATACACTAAGGGAGTAGAGGTACGATACAGAATACCACCTCGTCATGCAACAGGTGTGGTAGTTAGGCATCTGCTTTAAGCAGGTGGGAACCGCACTGATGGATGATTAAGATTCAGAGTTTGGTTCTCAGCTCTCCAGTACAGAAGTGCACATTTATCCATTGTTTTAGCATGATTAGTGTTAGGGTCCGATCACTTGACTTCTGCAGGTCTAGCAAGACCCACTTGAGGTTGGTGCAAACAGCACACAGCAAAAAAGCAGCAAATAGCAAGTCAGGCTTCTTAAGCTATAAATAATATACTTCTTAGAAGACAGAACCAGTTGTCTCTCTTGTGAGTGAGAATGCTGACCTTCTGTTCTCCTTTATAGGACTTTTGGTTCATTTCTCTCATGTTTAATTCTCGTTTTCCTCAGGTTTAATTCAGGGTCTGTTGTTGTTGTTGTTAAGTGCCCTTGAGTGGGTTTCAACACATAGTAACCCTGTATAGGGTTTCCAAGGTACAGCTGGTGATCTTGAACCAGCGACTTCATGGTTCAAACTGACTTTGCAGTCCTGCGCATTAGCCCACAGCGCCACACCAGGACTCCAATTCAGGGTCTAGGTAGCACATATTTTACACCCTTTTTGATGGTCTAGCACTGCTCTGTTTCTCAGAAGGTGTGCTGGGGTCAGTTTCCTGGAATTGTTGATTCAAGTGTCAGGTGTTGGGGTGCGTCGATTAGGCTGGCTGTTAGGTTCCTGCTCTGTCCCGAACAATTAGGATCAGAGGGCTTGATCTGCAAAACACTAGTTGGCTTGAGAAATCTAATTGTCAAATGTCTAGAATAATCTAGGGTGCTAGTCAGAACACTTTTTCATTTGTGACAAAGTGTGCATGGAAAGATAATAGGATTATCCAAGCTGCTTTGCCCATTTTTCTGCTACGATTTATCTTCTCTCTGTGGTCCTGATTTTTCACTCCTTATACTCATTCTCTCATACTTGATCCTTCAATTTTATTTGATTCTAATTTTCTCTTTGGCATTATTTCTGAGTTCCTTGGCTATTATGTAGAATTAATCTCATTTTTATTTTTATTTTTTAACTTGTAGGGTAGTTTAAGGAGCTCTGGTAGCGTAGTGGTTACGAATTGGGCTGCTAATCTCACAGTCAGCAGTTCGAAACTACCAGCCTTTCCGTGGGAGAAAGATGAGGCTTTCTGCTCCTGTAAAGATTTACAGCCTCAGAAACCCTGTGCAGGGTCACTATGAGTCAGAACTGACTCCACAGCACATAACAACAACAGTGGGGTTGTTGGTGACTCAGTGGTAGAATTCTCACCTTCCGTATAGGAGAGATACCGGATTGATTCCCAGCCAACACACTTCATGCTTAGCTGGTACCCACTACTGGTCATGTGGAGGCTTACGTGTTGCTATGATGTTGACTAGGTTTCAGTGGCATTTGAGGACTAAGTTGGGCTAGGAACAAAGACTTGGTGATGTACTTCTGAAAATCAGTCCATGAACTGAACTGTGTGTCACAGTTGTTGCTGTTGTTAAGTGCCATTGAGTCGGTTCTGACCCATGCGACCCTGTATAGGGTTTCAGAGGAACAGCTGGTGAGCTAGAACTACCGACATTGTGGTTCAAACTGACTTTGTAGCCCAGCCCATTAACCCACAGCGCCTCACTAGGATTCCCACGGATCACAATAGTTTGACCAAAAACGGATTGTGAGGATGCTGCAGAATGGGTTCAGTAGTATATGAAGTCACCATGAGTGGGGAGGCAGACTGCCTGGCAGCTAACAACAACATTTTCTCCTAAAAGTGTACTGGGCCCACTTTAAATGCTTTCTGAATAGGCAGGCATTGGCCACTAGCCCTGCTTCCTGGCTCAGAAGCCAAATTTGCTTCATTTGTCTCATTTCCTAACAATGCCCATTGTCTTAGCCCCATGAGAGAAAGGGTCAGGCTTTGACGTGAGCTTCATTGCACTGGTCACCAAAGGAGCTCTAGCTCTCTGGTCCCACTCAGCAGCTGCCCAAAGGGACTGTTCCAGATGAAATAGTTGTACTGGTGTGTTGCTGTAGGATAAGCATTGGACTGCTGACCACAAGGTTGATTCAAACCCACGAACTGCTCCTTGGAAAATCTACACAGGGTCGCTTTGTATTGGGACTGATTTGATGATGCTTAACAACAACAATAGTTTGTACTTACAGAGTCCTAGTGTGGCACGGTAGGATAGTTACTGAACTGCTAACAACAACACTAAACAACAACACTA